CTGCCCTCCCTCCCTTGATTAACGTTGAACTCTGGCATATAGCAGCCCGTGACCTGCAACCTGGGGAGTGACCCCCTAAAGCCTCTGAATGTCGCTGCTTAAAAGCTACTGCAAAATGAGGGCAAATTGCAATCTTCTCCTAGTTCTTTTGGTTACAAGGGGTCCTCTCGATTAGTCTGTGAATATCCAAAGGCACCCTCCCTCCAATCTGTGCATGAAACGTCCACAACTGCCTTTCCCCGCTCTCCTGGTGTCAGGACTTCACTGAAACTCCAGGGCCAGGCAGGTCCCTGAAGGCTTCTTTCAGCTGAGTGCTGCGCACACACTACTCATCCTTTTAAAAACAAAAACAAAAAAAAAAGGACCAAAAAAGAAAATTCTCCAAATATTTAATTTTCTTCTTTATTATTTGACAATCTTGTATCCCCCGGGCTGTCCAGAAGCTGCATCCTTGATCCCTTCCACCTTTACTTTGAATGTAGTTCCTCCACCCCCATGGGAAAGAGAAGCGTTGACAGGTCACGGTGCGCTGCTATAAGCCGGGGGGGGCGGTTTCTTTGTTTTGTTTTGTTCTTTTAAAATTTCCAGCCAAAACCAAAGATTTCCTAATGATTGTATAAACTCAAAACAAACAAACAAACCAAAGACAAAGGGGCGTCTTCAGCAATCCCATCTGTGAGGCCAGCCCTGGTAGAGGAGGAAGGGGGTTCCCAGCAGGCTGCTAAAGTGGAATGCCTGGCTTCCCATGGCCCGACACTGTGTGGCTCTTCCACAGCAAAATGGACTCAACCTGATCCAGGCAATTTCCATCCCACCCTTTGCTAATGTGTTGTGGAGGAAACTTGCTCTTTAAGCTCACAAAAACCCAGGGTGCAGCCACTGGGAAGGTGGGTTGGGAGAGCAGATGGGTTGCTGCAGCCAATGGGACTCCACAGATTGGTTGAGAAGCTGAAGACATTGGTGCATGATTGGCTGCTCTGATAGGTGCTTTAACCCTTTGGGGGCTGGGTGATGTTGATTAATACACGCTGAGGTGCACTTCTTAGCTTTTTTCCCTCCCCCCCCGTAACTGCTTGGAAGAGGCTGTCCTGTTGTGAGAAATCTCTGAAAGAAGAAAAAGCTTTTCATTTCTCCTCTAGTTTCTTTTTTTCTATATTTTTATTATTTTTGCAGCACCACTGTGCAACTATGCATTGTATTTCTCAACCTTTTATGCTAGGTAGATGCCTGTGACTTTTTAACTTTTGGGGGGGATTGCAAATGAAGGAACTTTATACATGGATCTTTTTAATCTCAGTTGATTGGGGGGTGTTTGGTTCTAGGGTCATACAAGCTCTATCCCAAAGCAAAATCCAAATGTTAATAATATTAGCCTGATGCAGATACCAAAGATAATTTCTTTCCTGCAGAACCTTAGACTTGTGTATTAAGTACGATTACCCAGCACTTGCATTAGTCTAACCTCAGTAATTCCAAAGCTTAGATGTATATTTTGGTATATTTCTGGGATATTAAAAGAATTGTCGTTTAAATTCTTGTTTGTTTCAGTGTAATGCTCTTAAAGTCATAGCATGGAGATAACTGAACTGTCCTATTCTTAGTAGTTTGAAATAATAGTATTTTTGTATGTTTTGGGTGTGTCTATGTATGTATTAACATAACAGTTTTCACTGCCTAGGTGTTCATAATTAAAAAGAATTAAAAAGTTCTAAAGTGTACATAATATTCCATAATGAACCTTCCACCAGACTGTCAATTTGGATTGCATTTTCACTGACTGCCATTCCCAGCTGGGATTCCTTATTTCTTTTTTAAGGAGACAGCATCCTTAATTTTTCTAAAGACCTGAATTTACTTTTTACATAACTGGGTAAAAGGGTGTTTTCCGTTGTTGTTTTTTGGGGGGGGGGGGGCAGTTAGAAAGTGGCCTGAGATTTATTTAAGAAAAAGCTTGGAAGCACATTAGTTTGAAAACATCAGTTTCTCTTTGAGTGAAAAGTTGGAATTTGGGAAAAAAACCTTTCAGCTGAAGCTGGCCAATAACTTTTAATGAAGCAATGAGTTGTGAATAGTGAATAGCCTGTGGGGGGATCCTTTTATGCGTCTCTTCAGCCAAAGATAAATTAGCAGTCTGGGTGTTAACCCTTTTTCTCACTTCTCCTCCTATACTATCACTTGTACACCGGGGGTCAGCTGAACACTTGAAGTCAGGGACCTTAATGCGATACTTGTACCCAGATGAAATACATTCTCACCTGGTCTTGAGACTGAAATGTGAAAGACCCCTATGATTTTGAAACTAATTGATATCTTTTTCTTGATGGGGGGGATAAAAGGGATGCTGTTTCTTTAAAGATGCCCTTTATTTTTTTTCCCAGTGGCTGCCTGCAGGTGGCTGTAGGCATTGAGAGATTGTGTAGATTACAGTGAATCAGGATGAAATGGTAGATTTTGTGTAGATGCATTTGTCTGCTGTAATTTTTTATATATATTAAACTTACTGTAACTGTACAGTTCATTTCTGTTGTAAACATCATTAAACCATTTTCCAAGTGTTTTAACATGTATGTACTTGTTTGTGGTTTTTAAATACGCCAATAGTTGGAGGGCAAAAATCTCCTTATTTCTGTTCCTCAGATCCACCAAGCTGGGCCTGAGAGATGTTCCCTCTTGCTATTTGTCAGTTGTGCCGAACAGACTGCAGGATATTGCAGGTGATCAGCTCTCATCGAGAAGCTTTTGCTCTGCCACCATTGCATTGTCCACTCTCTTCTTTTTTAAAAGAGAATCAGCAGCCTGGGTTGTCTTCTTGGGACTGTGGACAAAGGTTCTTGAATGTAAAGACTGAAGTTGGAAAATGGGAAAGGATGCAATTACCATGTGCATAGCACCAGGGCCAGCCCCTCTGCCAAAAGCCAGTTTGTTAGTCTTCAAACCACCTTGCAGATTCGATGCCTTGCGAGTCCTGGAAGAAATACTAGAGGGAACTTCTGAGAGCCAACATCCTCCCATAGCTAGAGACAGCATAAAGGGGAACTTTCTTGTTAACTCCCCCAGGTTAGTGGTTGTCTTATTCCCTAGCACATATTAAAAAATCTCATATGAAACTCTAGGCTTTACTGCCCTATAGCTGTTAGGTCCTAGCTTATTTGTGTTGTATATAACAATTTCTTTTTGGCAGTTGTAAACGCAATGTTTTCTAATTTCAGTGACTGGCAGCTTGGTCTTGTATTATGAAAGGGGGTAAGTATGAGTATTGGATTTACCTTCTCAGTTCGTTATTTTAGCGGACACTCTAGCATATCCCCTTTACTCCATCTTTCCATGCCTCTAATCATTTTGTCTCACAACAGGAATAGTAAGTCCAAAAATTTATATTTGAGAGGGCCCGCAATGTAAGGGGCTTGTCTGTCGCCAGTATTTATATTGATTTAGAAACTATATAGTTCAGGTGGTACAAAAAAATGTGGTAGAACCACCAACACCCCACTGCAGATGCATTTATATCACTATAAAAGGTGCTTATATTGGTATAGCTCATTTCAGTAATTTTACCTGTTTCTAAACCAATATCATTATTAAAGCAGTGCAAAAAAATACCTACATACAGACCAGGCCTGAAGATATTGCTGCCACCAGCACAGATTTCAGCAATAGTTGGATGGCAGCCTTCCAGCAAGTACTAACCTTGTCCAGCCTGGCTTAGTTTGACATCACAATTGTGACTGTTCAGGTGGGTGCAGGCAGCCCTTGTGGCAGGATAGCAACAGCAGGACTGGCACACGGCTCAGTTAAACACATTTACACATCCATGGCTTCCCCATCCATTTTATTACCTCATCAAAAAACATCTGAATTGCTGAGCCACCATCACCTTTGTGTTGAATCTGTACTCCTCATCTTTAAAATTATCCTGCAAGGTATTTAAAAATTCTTACATTTCTTTCGGCTTTTGTACACTTCCCTTAGCAAAATACTCATCGCTTGTTGGCATTGTTTTATATAACAGGAACATACTTCGGCGCTGTATTTTAAGTGGGGAAGGAATATCCCTTAAAAAATTGTGTGGATTGAGCAACAGTGAGGGAAGAGAGAAGTCAAGTTTTGGATTGTCGATTAAAAAACTTCCCTTTTTAATTAAATCCCAACTTTCCCAGTGTTCTCGAGCATAATGTATATGCTGCACCACTCCTGTTTTTACCATGGAACCTCGCTGGTAAAGGAGTCCTAGCTTTCATATATTTCCATTAGCATTTCTGGATGCGTCCATGTGCTGCAAGAGCTGGTCACACTGGGATGTTATTTTCTTGATTGCTTGTTGCAGCCTAGCACTGAATCCTCCTCACACTGTCAAGGTAGAGCCTGCTTTTAGCATTTGTCTTTCACTCTAGAAACATGTCGTCATTTACAGTAAGAACAGCTCTCCACACCTAAAACCAACTTAGAAATAAAGCTAAATTTACAGCAGAAAAATATTGGCGCTAGACTGCCATCGTTATGCTGATGCAGATTAGTCTTCCTGTAGATAATACTGGGTGTAGCTATAGCACCTTCCTTTCGAGGACCTTAAAAGTGCTTTAGCCAGTAATTAAATGTCAACCACCTGTGAGGTGGGTAAATAGGGTGTAGTTTTGGGGGGATTTTAAATAGCCAGAGAAACCAGCTCAGTGAGGAGGAGGAAGAGAACCCAACGTCCTAGTCTCCTGCCCAACACTTGCTGGTACAAAAACAGCCACTATCATTAGGAATAGTTTTACAGATATGTACATTTAAAAGCTAAAGCTTGAGATTGTATAGTTTTGAAGGGGGGAAGGGAGGAGGGGAACTAAATCCAGACTTGTCCTACTTTGTGCAATGAACCACACATATATAATTTGCAGCCCTGAAAAAATGGGTGTTGACTGAATGGCCTTTTTTGGAGTGATGATTGTTTCCCTTCTCTCCTCGCCCAAAGCATCTGGACTTGTCTCAGTCTTGCCCGTCCACTGCACGAATGCCACTTAGTGAGGGGGCAACGGCTGCATCTGGAGGGCATCATATGTGTCCTTGGTTGCGGAGCTGAGTCCCTGAAAGAAGAAAGAGGGTAAGGTGGATGAGGTAGACCTTGGACCCAATCGCCTGCCTTTAGTCTTGCCTGAAGTGGGAAGCGGGTGTTCAGCACACTAATCCGTTCTGTAACAGTGATGAGGCACTTGTTCAAATCACTATTTCCCTTGAAGATGAAAGGTCAATGGTCGTCAGTTTACCCTGGAGGTAAGATGCATGCTGAATACGGGTTAATGACAAACATTGCTCTAGTAACTCCTCCTGAAAGCTCACACAGTGCTTTACAATACTAACCTCAGCAGCAGCATGTTCACTCACATCGTGGCTATGTTTGAATGGTGGACAATGTGTCAGCAAGGTAGAGCTACACACCGCAATAAGCTATAGCCAACTGAAAGTGCATTCTGCCTAAATTTCCCTCTGCACTGACCCAAGTAGGAATTTGGCCAGGACACCTGAGTTTAACACCAACTGCTGCCACCAGCCTAGTGCATTTGGTATGGCAGCAGCACTGCAGATGGAAGAGTGCTCATCAATCCCTTTCTCCCCAGCTCAGTCCACCTCAACCCCTCTGATTTTCTATTCCAAAATGGTCTTTGGCACCACTCAGCTTTATTTACTTTACTTGTCCCAGCATCCTTTGCATTGATTGCAACAGTATACTAAAGTGACGAACAACCAGCACACAAGATTCTGGGGTACTTGAGGCCCAAAGGCTCCATCTACAGCTAACTGAGCAACGAGTTGCTGGGGACTCCTGCAGGCTGTAGATACTGGCTAAAAGCAAGATGCTCTGTGCCGCTTTAAAGGTATGTTTCTTAGCTCATTGGCTGATAGTGAACATTCATAGGTTTACTTGGTCATCCATCCAGTCCTACCTTTCTGAGAGTCTATAATCTCACAAGGGCCTAGTTGAAACCGGCCTTGAACAAAATCATTGCGGTTGGTTAGAGCTGACCAGCCGATGACAATTCAGGTTCATGGCAACTTTTCAAGTAGGTATGGGTCTGTGTAAGTTATGTTTACCTGGGATGTGGAAGACCCAGGTTCAAGTCTTTGTTCTGCCTGATTGAGATCAGGTTTTTTTTTCCTACCCCAGCTCATTGCAAATCAGGCCCAGTAGAGACTTTAACCTGGGTGTCCCACATCCCAAGCCAGTAACCCAACGACCCAGCTGTAGCATGAGTCAGTCTCCATTCCGCTTCAGCAAAAATGTTCTGTTCTACTACTGGGGAATCTGTAGCGATCTAGCCTGCAACTAAGGCCTTCGTGGAGAAAGTTTCTCAGGGAGATCCCACTCAGTCCTCAGCTACAAGTATGACCACCATGACAAAGTTGCTCACCGGAAGTTAAGTGTAGGAGAGAAGGAAAAAAAGCTCTCTTTTCCCCCCTGTTCCCCCACCTTGACTCTCCATGAGGAACTTCCCTAGGGAATATAAGATGATCATCTGAGCTTCAGTGCCTTTAATACATCTGCCAGGCTCCTCCAAGAGCCCAAATAAACTTCAGGACTGGAGTAGGGCATCGGGGCTGGTATCCGGGGGCGGGGTCAAGTCTACATTTTGGTTCAGTTCAGTTCTGCTTCAAGCCACCAAAACAAAACAAAGTTTGGTTACTGTTTTGAACTGATTCACATCAAATTTCAGTCTTGGTGGAAGTAAATTCAAAGAGTTAAAACTTAAAATTGAAGCTTTTTTTTTATTTTGACCATTTATTTATTTTTCAACTTTAACAGAAAACTCATGTTAAATTTTTTCATGAACACTTTGTTTTAGTTCCCTCCGATCACATCTTTGACCATTTGCTCTTTCCTATATGGGACCTCTGCAGTGAAAGGGTAAGTGAGTTTAGGGCATGGGCCCTGCCTCAGGGGGAGCATCTGAAGGAATGCATTGCCCCAGGGGATGGAGAGCTATTACCTTTTTCCCTTGAGCTTGAAAAGTTACTAACTCCTAGGACCAGGGAGCATTCCACCTGTTCTCTCCCTGCAGGGGAACCTCAGAGGGTGCATCTACACAGCAATAAGAGACCCATGGCACAGGGTCTCAGAGCCCAGCCCAATGAGCTCACAGGGTTCAGGTGGTGGGGCTAAAAGTAGCAGTGTAGATGTTTTGGTTCTGAAACCGGTCTCAAAGCCTGGGCTTCAGCCTGAGCCAGCTGACCTGGGCTCTGGGACTCACCGCCCTGGGTTTTTATTGGCACATACAAATATCCAGCAATGCTTCCTATATCTCTGGGCCCCCGGCTGCCTCATGTGGTGTACAGGCAGCTCCTAAGCTGCTCCTCTCCCTCCCTATGCTTGTGGACTTGTCTCCTTACACTAGGGCTTGGTCTACACCAGCAACGTAGGTTGGTTGAAGTGCGTCGCTACAGCACAGTTATATTGACCTAACTCATGGTGTAGACGGTGCTCTGGCGCCAGGAGGGCTTTTCCCCTCGACATAGCTCCCGCCTCTTGGGGAGATGGAGGACCTGTGCCAACCGGAGACGCTCTCCTGTCAGCGTCTTCACTGAAGTGCTACAGCCTTTCTAGTGTAGACAAGCCTCAAGCCAGGCCCGTTTCTTGTCTCATGAAAATAAGTTCCAATAGCTTAAAATACTGAGCTTAAAAATGCCGAACCTTTATTTTAAACCCCTCGCCCAATTTTTTTTCTTTCATTTCTGGTTCAGGTAAAACTACCAGTTCGAGCTGGTGCTGCAGTGCTGGTTCCACTCCCTGCTGCTACCCTACCCTCTCCACGAGTGGTCAATGCCACATGTGCAAAAGAAAATCCCCTAATGAACCCGCCTGTTCAATTCTGTAAGATAACGAAAGCTGCTTGTTGACCGTAGCTGTCCAGGAGAACTAAGCTTTTGATTTTACCTTTGAGTCGCTGCAGATGCTAGGCAGCCATTCACCAACAGTTGGTCATATTACACAGCAGGTAATTCGGGCTACTTCAAGAACAACCAGACACGTCCTTTCCATGTTACAGCCGACCTATCTGGGCAGAGGCTATAGAGCAGACAGAGGCAGCAAATGATGCTTCTAGGAAGTCCAGCTGCCAGAGTTTTGGCACTAGTGTAGAGCAGCTCCCTCTCCTGCTAGCGAATCCAAAGAGCAGGGACATTCAAGGTGATCTGGGCTACTTTTAACCAAGGGTTACAGTGGGGTGGTCTTAGCTTTGAAGTAGCAGCAGCACATCACCTCTGGTCAGACAGACACTCTGAAGCCCCCTAGCATCATCCATTAGCAAACAAAGGTTAGACATACAGTTAGGAGCTGCAATCAAATCACTGAATTGGATGAGAACATTGCTATGCACGCACTCCCTACCTGGTAGACAGCATCATTCCCTTTGCCTCGCCGCCTCTGGTGCTTTGGGAAGTAAAAGAGAAGCCATGGATTAATAGCCACTACTGCTTTATGTAGTGGGGGTGCTGTGATTTACTGTATTTCAATATACAGTGTTCACAAAAGTGCCTCTTATTTTATAGGCTAGATACAATTAAGAAATAGCCCTCATTTCTCAGGTGGTGACTGCTGCATGCCATGTGGGGGCTAAGTGACTCTGCACTCTATTAAATACAGAGGACAATGCAGTAAGTTTCCTAACCTTCAGCTATTCACCCAGCGTTAATTTTGTGAACAGCTTCTGATGCAAAGGAAGCACTCATGGGCCCCTTGGGAAACAACAAACTCAGACAGCATTCAGTAAAATGACATGCATGTAAATAGCCCCACCGCTGTCTGTCTCTCTCGGCTTTCAGAAGAAAAACCTGCCTTATGACCTGGATGTCAATCAATCAATGAAACATTTCCCTTGGAATGGTGTTTTGTCAGATCAACCAGCTGACCACAGCATCATGCAAGATGCAGGTTTCCAAGTGTGACATTTCAAAGAGTCGCTGCAGCAGTCCTTGGGCACTACAATGTACGTACGAAAGGGTGAGTGACAAGGTGCATGCACACCCCCATCTGAGGGGGTTAGGTGAACATTATCCGCTGTAGTGCCCACTAAAGTTAAAGTTTACACTAAATGCCCTTGTTTTCACAGCTTTCTGAAACCAAATACTCTTATTGAGGATGAAATTCTCCAATTTGTCTTTTTCTGTGGGTGAATTTTTGTTTGGAACTTTGAGCCCAGGCCCGTACCTGTTTGAATGACGGGAAAGGGGTATTTACATTTTTTAAAACAAGTCTACCTACACAATTTTAGCAAGAACTACCATAAAGATGCTTGAGAGATGAAACTCTGCAAGGGTATGATCCTTACCCAGAATCATGAGCGCCTTTATTTCGTTTGAGAGGGGAAACTGGAGCACTTGTAAACTGTGCCCCAAGCGTGCACAACAGATTTTTTCCAATTATGTCTGCAAACAGATATATATTCCCAAATTCACTTGGTATTAAACATTCAGAACTTTGAAACTACAGCACCGATTTTCTTCAGACTTTCCACTGAAACTTAAATTAAGCTGGGAAGGAAGAAAATTAGTAGAATGGTTTTTAAAAACCAGCACATTTCATTTTTTCCCTGAAGTTATTCTGCAGGCACAGAACTGAATGCCCTGCATAAAGGCAGTGGTGTAACCGTTTGTTTCTAGTATCCATGGGATGCTACCTTCTGTCTAACCTCTAAGGTTGCACTCAAGTCATGAACAGAAAAGTAAAAGTTACATTAATAATAATACCTGTTTTTTGTAGAATGCTTTTCATCAGTAGCTCTCAAAGCACTTCAATATTTAATGTATTAGCTGTTTGGAAAGCACTAGTAGACTGCAGCTGCTACTGGAAAGAAGTCAATCCTTGCTTTAGTGGGGTGGTGTTTTTTTTTTTAAATCGGGAATTCACCTTGTATGTGATAGTCATGAGGATGTGTGTTGTAGTGGGAACCTCTTATATGGGATGGAAAATTCTTAGCATCATTATACCTGCCCTTGTTGAAAAGAAAGGTACCACTCACCTCTCCCTTCTTCCCAATTTCACTGTATGCCTCGCCCATCTTGTCCTTCTGCAAAGACTGGCAACCAAATTTAGAGAACAGCATTAGCAGTGTAAGAAGCCATGCTAGCCCCATTGATATCCTTAGCCCCACTGCAGAGTTTCTCCTTTCCCTCTCTTTCACTTCTAATCCCTCCCCTCCCTCAGACGACTCCTAGCCTTAGTTCCAACTATATGAGGTTGGTTCTTTGAGACCTTCTCCATTCCAGTCTGTCTTAATGCAGATTCTTGGAAATTCAACAGCTAATCAAATCCTTTTCTATGATGTCTGGCTCTGAGTCTTCCACCCCTTCTCTTAAACTTAAAAATCCTGTTTCCTATATGTTCTTCCATTCTTCTTCTCCATCCTTCTAACTGCAAGCATCCAGCTTAATGCATTCATTTCCACTGTATTCAAGATCTGCTTCTCTCTCTTCCTCAGTGCCCAGAATTTGGAGCCATACAAATGTGCAGGCCTCGTTACTGTCTTGCAATATCTTTGTTTTCAATTTGCTAGGCATTCGCCTATTGCAGAGCATTCGCCATTTAGTCCATGCCTTTCCTGTTCTGCTTAAGTTCATTGCTGAGCTCACCTTTATCCTCTACTATCGAACCTAGGTCCTTGAACTTCTGTACCTGTTAGTAATGGCTGCCCTCCAGACTTAGTCTTGGCATCTTCCTGCAAGGTATCAAATCTACAGCCCCTATACTTTGTTTTATTGCAGCTGATTTTCATGCAATTTCTTTCAAGTATGCCCCTCCATCTCTCTGAAATCTTCCTTCATTTCCTCTTTGCTCTCCCCCACAAGCACATCATCAGCTGCAAAAAGCATGCGGCAGGGTGCCACTCTCTGGCTGTTTTCTGAACATGCATTAAGTACCCATGTAAATAAAAAGGGACTTTTTGCCAAGCCGTGGTGTACTCCAACTCTTACTAGAAACTGTTCAGTTTCTCCACGTGGACTTCTAACTGTGGTAAAAGCACCCTCATACAGATCCTGGCTGAGTCTGGCTAGCCTTCAGCCACCTGTTTCATTCTCATACACCACCAGATGACTTTTCTTGGACTGTAGTCATGAAGCATCTCAAGATCGATTAGTACTATGTGCAGGGTTTTCCTCTATACCTCAGAACAGTTAGTCTTTGTATAGCATATTGCATGGGGCAAGCCAATGAATATGCAGCATGGATGGAATCGAACAGACTATTTATTTTACCAGTACTTCATCATAGCACCAACTCAACTAAGTGGTAATTGGCTCCTTCACTAGAAAATCCCAGGGTCAAGCAAGGTTCAGAACAGCTCCTCTGGCTGTAAGGTGGCCACCATATCACCAAGGTTCAGGGCACCCCATTTAGAGAGAGAAACTGAACTGAGGGCCAGGCAGAGGGTACTGCTCAGGCTATAGAGGGAGGGAGCAAAAGGAACTCTGCAAGGTCAGAGAAAGAGGATATCCTCCTGGATGTGCTATGGGAAGGGATTTACTAACTCTCAGGGCCCTGCTAACTCAGGTGGTGCTGAAAGTCTGTAAGGGAAACCGATTGACTCCCAAGTGCAGCTGAAAATTCCCAACACAGGATGAAAACCCAGGGAGAAGTTGAGCAGGACTCCAGTGCTAACTCTCCAGGTCACTACTGTTGTCTGCTACCCCCTAGGGTAGGATGTTGTTCCCCTTCATTGTGGTTGTGTTAATGAACCAGTATCCCAAGTAAGATGCCACTGGGGATGCAGTTAGTTACAAGGGAAGTTCTGCCAATGCTGCTTCAGAGAGATCAGGCAGGGGGCCAGCTGGAAACAAAAATATTCCATAGACTAGGGCAGTAAGTGCAGGGGGTAGGCCATATATCTCTGTGCAGTCCCCATCCTCCCCCTATGAAGCAGGTCAGTCTAACTCATTTTGGGGAAAGGTGCCAGCATGGGGAATATATCCAAAACCTGACCCACAACATCAGCACAGAGACATTGCTGAGGGAGAGGGAGAGTGTGTGTATCAAACACTGCCTTTAGCACCCTGCAGTTCCTTAATTTACTCACAGTGTAAACTGTGTCCTGAGACGACTTCTTTCTTCTCTGCTGAAAAACAAAGGGGAAGAGCTGAGTATACAACATAGTGTCAGCATCCTTTACCTCTGTGCATATGGCTGTGTATTAACCATGCCGTTTTCATAGCTACGGCTATGTACTGACCTGTTTCTATGTATCCAATGTACACAGTGGATGCATATTACTGCCATCTTTCTGTATACTGCTCTCCAGCCTGGCACCTGGACAGATGTGGGTAGAAGAGCTACTGCTGCTGTGAAGGAGTTGTTTTTTATTTTTATTTTTTATGCTTACTGAAACCTAATCCTTCCTCCCTTAATCTGCATAGCTGTCCTCAGCAGGAAAACCCTGAGCAAGGGGAAGGCGTCCCCTCCCTCTTCCTCTCCAACAGCAGTGAGGTCTCAGCAAGTGCAGTTACTATGACTCTTATGTTACTTCATTGGCACTTGCTAAAGTGTCACACAGATCTACAGTGAGACACTCAGCCCCTGTATGCCCTGCCCCCACATCCGTTGGGTTTGAGATGGAGTGTGATTTCCTATTCTGGGTTGTTGTGAGCTCCTAAGAAAGGCGCAGGGGTGAAGATTTTACAGTCTGCACATCAAAGACTCCAGCCTTGTGCTTTGTTAGGACTCTTCTGTCTTTATCCAAGGTCATCCCTTGCCTTGTGAGAGACATGAAGAGTGTTAACTACAGGCTGCAGCATGAGCAGCTAGCAGGGTGTTTTGACACTCCGCTGCAAGGGGCGTGTTAAGCTAAAGATTGTTGCGGGCACAGCTATGTTAGGGAGGTGATTTAAAAAAAAAAAAAAGCAGCCCTGGAGCTCTACTAGCAATGCCTTCCTAGAATGGACACAGGTATGCTGCCAAAACTGCACGTAGCTTGGGTCAGTTCCCTGAACCAAACAAACAATCTAGAGTGCAGTTTGTGCTGGCCCAGCTCTGCTGGCTTAAAAAACAAAACGCAAGGTTTCAGGGGGTTACGTGAAATACGTCTAGCCCTATGCCCACTGTGGCTAAGGGCATGAAGGACCCTCGTCACAAGAAGTTGAGCTGGTGCAGGATTTCCAGAACCAAGTCAGTTTATGTTGCCCTTTAAATAAGACGCACTGCCACTATCCAGCAGCCCTCAATTCTAGCCACACCACGGCAGCGTGCCAGCTGCAAAAGCCTGCTTAAGGTTAAACTGTCACTTGAGAATCTCCAGTAACCTGCTTTAGCATTAAGGCATCTACTCCGGTTGTGGACAAGTCGTGTGGGGCAGCAGAGATGGCACATCAGACGTGCGTGGCTAACAGAGGATAATGGTGCCCTGTACACACTACTCAGGCCATCGTGTGAATGGGTACATGCACATCTTTGAGAGAGGTTAAGCACAAAAGGAAAGTTAAACAAGAGTGCAGGTGAGAAGAAGTTACCTGATTTCTCCCTCCCATTTCAAGGTCAGAGCCTCTCTTTTTAGTTCCCAGAACATCATATTCATCTCTGGTTGTACGAGACAATTTCTGCAATGAAAAAAAGGAAAAGTAGTCAGAGTGACAGAGACTTTGCTAATAAGCAGCTTTGGTCTTGGCTTAGTTAACACTGGAAGGAAATTCTAGTTCAACATCCAATTTACTGTACAAGTTATAACTGTTAAATAAGCCAAGAAGTAGTGTTAAAGGAAAAATAATCAACACTAATGAGCTAGGGCTGTATGCACCAGCCACCCTGCTTGCTAGTCTATCCACTAGAATTCAGACCTTCCTGCCCCAGAACCACAGGACCCTGCCCCTAGAGCTAAAGGCAAATCACCATTAGTTGAAATAGGATTATGGCTTTTATACTGTCTCCCTCTAGTAGCTGGGGATGTATACTCATACACTGGAGCGGATTTGATTCTATTTAATAGAAGATACACTGATGCCATATCTACATCAGCCACGACATTACACCATTGATTTTTTTTCCCCTTTAAAAAGTCAAGATTTGCATTCAGTAAATTCAGGAAACCTTGTGCCTGAGCTCACTCTTGATTGGGATTGTTTACTTTACAAAGTAGACAAATACGAGAGGACCATGATAGAAGTACCCAAAATAAGGCATGATACAAAAAGAGGATAGATCAGGTGCTTCTGTTCCCCCTATCTCATATCACAAGAATGAAGGGACATTCAGTGGGCTTGGAAAGATGGCAAATTCAAAACATACAAAAGAAATACTTTTTCATCCATTCAGCAATTAGATGATCCCGTCGCCATCTGATTGAGGTTGAGGTCAAGCACTGGGCAAGATTCAAAGAGACTGTACATTTATATGGATAAGACTACTCAGAGATTAACAGTTAATGTTAAAAAGATTATTGGAAAGGATCTAACACTTTCATGCTTCAAATCTTAAACTAATCTCTAGCTATCTGGGCTAGGCAAACATTTCATGAGGAGCAGATTCTCACATCTGCCTACTGTGGAGTTGTTTGCATCGTCCACTTCTTCATCTGATATCGGCCACTATAAAAGACAGGATATTGGTCAAGAAGGACCATGGGTCTGAGCCAGTCTGGTACTTCCCATGTTCTAGGATACACAGCAAGTCACATGACTAGACCAATGGCGATATGGTGACTCATGAGCCACAGGAGATAAAGTGATCCCTGTTACTTAAAGAAGAACCAGAATCCCCCCAGTGGTGCTCAGATTCTGCATGTCTGATCCCACCCCATCTTCCATTCAAATCCAAAACCTGGAAATGGACAGTTATTTCTGGGGTCTAGCTCTGATCTTGCCCAGGTCCCCTTGCTCCATCCTCCCATTAGATTCCACACTCACCCTTGCTGTCTTCTGGGAGGAAGAGCCACAGGCCTCCACCCTTCCTGGGCTCTTTTGAATGGAGCCACCTCAGGGACTACACAAAGGTTTTTGGGTGTGCAGTTCCTGTGCGGCACACCCGCAGCGAGCAGACATTGCTGCTGCTGCAGCCCCTGGCTTCCCTCAGTGGGGAGAAGAGGATCAAGTCAATTACTAGCTCTTGCAAAGCGCCAAATACCTGGAAGCCAGGTATGGGAAGGGGTTTGTGGATGCCTCATTCAGAAACACAGGAGCAGTGAGTGGGGGCCCTGCAGACAGAGGGGATGTGGGGGAACAGGGGCCGAGGGAGGGCAGGTGGGCAAGCAAGCAAACAAACGTGGTGGAATGAGATTTCCACCATTTGGATTCTAATGCTGGATCCAAATTCAGACCCAGACAGCTGTCAGGGTCAAATAAAAATCCAACCTCCAAATGTTACCTCTGGGGGTATTTGAAGTTAGATCTGGACCCCAGTAGGTCAGTGAGTCTCGGTTTACACTGAAATTCATCCATTTCCTGCAGCTCAAGACAGGATCAATCTCTGACCAGTAGGCTCTTCCACTTACTCTAGTCTCATCAAGCCTGAGAGGCAGGTAAAACATCACTACAAGATGTTCCTGTTCTAGGTCTGATGCTGAATTCTGGTTAATTAAGCAAGGGTAGTGTGACCTCTCTCTCTCTCCTCCCCTTCCCCTTCCCAAGAGTTTACTATACTAGTGCCTTGTCATGGTTGAATGGAAGATAGTCATGCCACTGTGCTGTGCCATATTGTTCCTATCAGCAAAGAGAGAAACTGACAGGGTGCAAGTGTGTAGAAGAAAAGCTATATAACTAAATTGATCCCTCAGCATTAGCCAGTCTCTTTACCTGAGAACAGGTACAATTAGTGTAAATATATTAGTTTATAAACCTTTAACCACCTTCCTTCATTTCTAAAGGTAAAATAATAAAATTCTAATAAATCTAAAATAAATTCCTGTCAAGAGATCAACAGCACGTTGAGACATTGTCTGTCTTTAAAAAAAAAACAACACACTTATTTGTGAAAATACATAATATTGTACAATAGCTCCACATACTGTACTATGACTATTACAAGTGTAGTGCTCTGGTCCATTACTAGAGTACTCTTTATAAGCATAGAGGTTAGACTTGGTACCTTATAGACCATCTATGGTCAACTCCCTTTCCAGCAACCCACAATGCTACATTCAAGCAATAGTTAATAAATAATCTGGGAAGAGTTCACATTTGACCCTTAAAGTGTTGCATTCCAGAGATCCATATTCTAAACCCTATCACACGGAGCAGTGAAAAGATGCAGGCAACTTAAATGAGGCTACTCAAATAAGTACATACTACTCAGTATGAGGTAGTACTGCAGGGTCAGGCCCTCTGTAGAGGAAAGCATATGCAGATGGGCACATGTGTGTTTCATGGACTCACAGACAGCACTCTGTGATCCACACCCCAGCCCCTGTGCATGCACTGGACAGGCTGCATCTGCCAACTGGAGAGCACCAGTTCAACACTAGAATTAACTGCTCCTACCCTTCTGGTGAATGGACATGCCAAGTGCACCTCCTGCACATTAATAGAGTCAAGCCTTAAACCAGAGTCCTAGTGTTCTGTTGGTAACAGGTGAGTGAGAAGGAAGTTTCCCCCAAGGTGAGCCATTAAGAGCTAGCCCCAGTGGGAAGTCACTTCCCCTTGTAGCTACTACACTGCCCACTTGTGATTGTTCCTCATTAGTCTGCCTCATCCAGCCCATCCTGAGACCCTTCTGGCCAGAAAAACGCCATCTCATTCACAGGACAGCAGGAGGAGAGGAGAGAGCATGTCTGGATGAGCAGATTAAAAACATGTTGACATAAGAGCAGCAGTCACTTACATTATACACGTCATTCTGGCCCTGCAGTGCTGGGGATTCAGGGGCTTTGCTGAACTGAAAGAGAGAGAAAGCAAAGTGAGCACCTGGCAACAGCAGCATAGTAGATACAGCCCCTGGAGGAGTTATTCTTACCTTAGGTGGGGAACCTACAGACTAACAGCCTGTGGCCCTGCCAGTGCCATCAAGAGTTTGCCATCTGGGGTGCCTAAAAGGGCCAAAAAACTATACAAATTCCTGCCCTGCTCTCCGCGGGAGCTTTCCTTTGTATTTCAGTCCACTCTCAGGGATTGGTCATGCTTTTAATGGTGCTTTACAACAGCCCTTTGGAAGCTTAAACACAGACAGGATTTCCTACTGAGTGTTCTCCTCCACTGTGCACGTGCACACTGGCATGTTACGGCAGGGTCACCGTCATGCTCCAAGCCAATGAATGCAGTCCGTTATTGGAAAGTCTCTCATGAGGACAAGGGCTGCTAGCATTAATGAGGTCTTTCATGGGCCCCGCCCTGCAGGATCAAGCTCTAAAAAACTAATGACACCTTTTAAATCCCCAGGCTGTGCAATGGCAGAAGGTGCTATATAGGTTGGGGAGGGGTGTTTGAAATTTTTCCTCTTAAGTCTGAATATTTTTGCTCCCATCTCCACAACTCTTGCAACCAGCCACACACACTTCTCCTTGGCCTGCCC